GTGGTGTGGAAACATAAGTGATGAACAACAAGAGCTGTCGAGCATCAGTGGTATTTATAACACCTGCATGGAGAGGAGGGGTCTGACCTCTCGCTGTTTGCTCCCCGTCCTTCAGGAGGAAGTTCAGAGAATCAAGAGCAGAACTACTTGTTTTTGTAAGAGCACAGATGCTGAGGCGGTGAGGGCCCTTCACTCTGCATCAGCATCCCTGACCTCAAACTAACCGTGTCCCCTCTCAGCTCTTTACTGCAGCTGGAACTTTGTTTTGATATGAGTTCATTTTAATATGATTATTCTGATGTTTGATTTATTTTGACAGTGTTTTCATATGTTTGTCTTTCTGGAGCTCGCACTAAGAGAAATTATAATCAATCTTCATTGAAATGATAATGAATTATCAGCTGAGCAAATACCAGGAGGTGGTCGGTCCACACCAGTCTGTAAATAAAGATGGATGCGACGTCACCCACAGGTTTCTGAAGCTCAGTGTGAGCTGCTAAGTGTGAGCTGCTCCGCTGTTGCCATCTTGGCAGTGTCTGACTCCGCCCCCTAACTTCCAGCTAATCCAAATATAGTTGAAGAGGAGGGGCCTGTTTGGAGCCGAGACTTCGATGCATGATGGTTTGTTACACCTGTCACTCAAAGAGGCCACGCCCCCAATCCTCCATAACTGTAGTCCTTAATAAAATGTAAACAGGTGAGTTATATAAACAGGTGAGTTATATAAACAGGTGTCATGAAGGAGGAAATTAGCTCTAGAGACCAAAACAGTTTTTGTACCAGGCTGTAAACATGTTGATTTCTGCTGTAAAGTTGGACATTTTAACATGGGAGTCTCTGGGGACTGACTCACTGTTGGAGCCAGAATATTATCATCAATATTCATGACAGATTTGCATTGACCATTTCTGGTTAATCGTGGGAGAGTTGTGGGCGGAGCATGAGGCTGCACACCTTTTGAAGTTGACTGAGATTCTAAAGGGAAATTTCGTGGAGGTGTGTGCACAGTTTTACTTTTGTGCATAGTGACACTTTTAGTACAGATCCTAGCCTGTTTTATAAATGAGGCTGCAGGTGTTGCAGCAGATCTCTGCAGTCATCTGAGGAGCTCTTCAAATATTAGTGGTGAAGGATGAAGAACTAATCTGACCTCAGGGCTCTGGGAACTCACGTTCCCATGGAAGCAAATCTGAGAGTTTCAGTCCTGACTCCACGTCTAAAAATCAAAATGTCCTCAGGCTGTAAATGCAATAAAAACAAAAGACGTGGGTGATGAGAATTAATCAAGAGTGAATGATGAGCATCATGAATATCCAACGATGTCACACAGGGTTGAGATTTGGGTTTGTTTCTGGGGACACAGATTTTATCAGCTCCGGGGGCGGAGTTTCAGTCAAATTTTCCTGCTGAGGAAACAGGAAGTGCAGGAGGTTTGAAGTGTGGACTCACGAGAGTGAAGCATTCAAAGAGATGCGAATGAAGTCTGTGCTGTCGTACAAAGAGCCGCGGTGCGGGAAGAATCTGCAACAACCCGACTGTTACTGAGCCGCTGAATCTGCTGTGACCTCAGAGGAAACAACAAGGAGAAACACCTCTCACATCTGTTATCCTCCCTCACAAACTGGCTGCTCCTCTCCTCACTGGCTTTGGCAATTTTTTTCAATAATTCTTCAGATTAAACCTCATGATTTTATTCATTGACTTGAGGTAAAAAAAACCAACTTTTTTTTACTGTTTTCAGGTCGTCCGTCCGTCTCAGTCTCGAGGACAGAAACACCGCGACTGAACTTCTTCACATTTGGCACAAACATTCACAAGGAAGGCTGTTCAAAGGTCAAAGGTCAAGGTCAGTGTGACCTCACAAAACACGTTTTAGCCATTACTCAAGACTTCACAGCAATTGTGACCAAAGTTTCACACAAATGGTTCATATTTTATATTTTCTATGACTCTGGGTAATTCTAGTTTTTTAATCAATAAAATGTGTTTCCCCTCTGAGTTCAATCAGTTCAGCAAATACCTGCTCACCCCAGTTATTCCGTTTTTTTGTAGCTTATATTTGTTTATATTTTACAGTTTATACCTTCATATCCTCTCATTCGCTTAAATCTGCATGTAATGTTTTTTTTTCTATAATTTCTGGTCGACGTTGGATGTTTATTGGATGTTTATTGATGATCAGAGATAATATTATCCCCTGGGTGTAAGTGTTGAGATTTAACAGAGTTATGATTCAGAGAAGAAGGAATGAAGTGCTGATGGTTTTAAAGCACCTTACCATCCTCCACCAGCTGACAGAGGAAACCCTAACTCCACCATCATTCCCAGAAATACTGTGCTGAATAATTTGCAGTAATGTACTTATTTAATTATGTAGATTAGTTGGTGAAAATAGGCAGTGTATGATTTTTAACAGCAAGTCCATTAGTGGAGGATTAAGAAATGAAGGCTGGGTTAACAAAGAGTGTGGGTGGGGGAAGAGAAGTGGACGAAGGGTGAGAGGAGGAGCAGAGTCTGTGATGCAAATGAAATTAGACCTGAATGGTTATTGTCTCATTTCTTAAGGGCTGTTGGGGTTAATTACACTCAATCTACATAATACATGACCGTTTCATAGGCAGCACATATCTGAGACAGAGAGTGGAGGCAGAGGGAGGGCAGTTAGCATTTTCAATTATCCGACTCATTATCATCAATAATTAACAGGAGAACACAGCCTTGGGTTGGGCATGAAAAATAGCTTCAGTTAGCGAGGGAACTGCAGGAAAGGTGCTGAACGTATACGAGTGTGAGATACGTCACGGTCTCATTTTTCACCAGGACTTTAATTAAACTTTTGTCCATCAGACGGCAGCAGAATGTGGCCATGATAATAATTCATTTCATCATTCTTGTCATGATAGTTTTATGGCTTTAGGGATGTGATGTCTGTCACTCAGACTGAATCTTAACAAACTGTCGCATGGATTACAATGAAATTGATGAATCCTAATGAGTTTGGTGACTGCCTTTCCTCATGTGCACATCCTTTGGTTACAGTTTAGCTAACTAATGTTAACTAGTTTATCACTTTATGTGCTTTATTCACATATCATTATCTCAATGGAAACAGACCATTCACTATTGTTTTGGCAACAAAAAAAATCACTTCTATTTTGCACAAAACTGCGATGGAAATACAGCTACTGTCTGCGAAGCAACAGTTTCCTATCAAGGAAATTTAAAAGAACTTTAAGTAGGTTTGGGGAATGCAGAGGTTTACACAGCCGTTATACTACCAACAACAAGAATTTCATCTTTATTTATCATTAGATCGAGTCATTTAAAGCTCCATATTTTCTTCTTCTTCTGTGTTTTATTTGAAGTGTTGATCCATCAGAAGATATAAAAACCATCTCAGTGTAGTTTTACATCTCCTCTCTCAGGCTTCTCTCTGCAGCTCTAGTAACAACAGGTCGGTGAGCCAATCAGAAGAGAGGAGGCTCTGAGCCTCTCTTCTGATTGGCTGACTGTTTTCTGAGTGATCCAATAAAAATAAAGCAGATTTCAGGTAAAAACACTCAGAGAAACCAAATCCTGCAAGGTTTGGATGGTGGGTCCAGGTGGGCGGGGCTTGGTGACTGCTTTGTTGTGACATCACAAAGTTCCAGAAGTCCTGACGGCTGGTTTTAAGGCTCAGTTTCTGAATACAGGCTGTGTGCATTTCTCTGTGGACTGAGGCTTTGATACTTTCACAGTATTAATATAGAAGCTAGAGCTGATCTATAATCACACTGCACATGGACACAGACCTTTACACTGGAGGAGCTTTAAATCTTGTTTGATTTCAGCGTTTTCGTTTCACTCTCAGTAAACATGGCTCAGATTTTCATCTGTCGTTATTAAAAAACCTGCATTTGTGAAACAAAGTGTGCGTCTTTAGACCAGGACTCAGTGATTAGTTCGTGTATCAGACGAACATCTTTCTGTTCATCCTGCTTTCACAGCTTCTCTCAGGCTTGGTTTCTTTGCTCGGACTCCACCGTCAGCTGGTAAAAAACTGAAGAGGAAAAAAAAGGAAATTTCTCCATCTGGGCTTTAAAGACAAAATCCAACACAGCAGAAGCAGCCATGTTTTTTTTTCCTGTTTTATTTCTCATTGAACTGCCCTGCAGGGTTTTATATCACGTTACACTCGAGATCAGAGATGGAGATGGAAAGAGAGCAGAGGTAAAAAAAAAAAAAGATCTCAGGGTTCCCTCGTCCATTTGGCATGCATGGGTGGGTAGAGAGAGAAGAGAGAGTGTGTGGGTGGATGAGATGCAGAGAGGAGGAGAAGAAGAGGAGGATGAGGAGGATGAGGAGGAGGAAGATGGGGGTAGATTTCTTTTTTTTAATGCGGGGTTCCTTCACCCCAGGGACACCTATCTGTCTGACCACGGGAGTGAGGAAATGAAGGAACAAAAGGTTGAGGAGGAGGAGGAGGAGGAGGGATGAAGAAGAAAAAAAAAGACTGGAATAAAATGGGGGGGGGGGGTATGGAGGGCCAGATCATCTACACCCTTTCCTGTAAGGGAGGAGTAAAAAGGCTGCAGCTATGTGTGATAGTATATGTGTGTTGGATGCACACATGTATCATTAGGCATCATTAACCACAAATTATACAGAGAGGAAGAGAAAGACAGATGCTGCTGTTGGCACATTATTTTACTCCTGCCCCCCCCCCCCTGCAATCTGCAGCCCTGGGGGTGGGGGGGTGAGAGTGAGAGTGAGGGAGAGTTAATCTAATACATGTGTAGTGTGATTAAAGGAAGAGCTTCATCACTGTTGACAGTTCAGATGAATGTGAGGCTGCAGTGAAAGGATATTAAACGCTGAGATCGCACTGAAAAAAGAGGCAGAGGAGAAAGGGTTAAATGTCTCTCTCTCTCTCTCTCTCTCTCTCTCTCTCTCCTCTCCTCCTCCCCCCTACCTCTCTCGACCACTCGCTGCCTCTCTCACCACCTGTTAGTTAGTGCGGACCCTCATGCACTGACATCCACTTGTTTGTGTAGGAACCTCCTCCACTCACAATCAAAGGTAAGAAAATCCATTATTCTTTATTCTGACCAGTTCTTCTTCTTCTTCTCTTCTTCACACTGGTGTGATTTCTGCTCTTTTATTTATTTATTTTTTAGGATTATTTTCACTTCTCATTTTTATCTCTGCATCCTTCATCTCTCCGTCCTCTCCTGTCTTTCCATCTCTCTTTTTAAAATTTCTGCCAATTGTGCAAATCAGTGGTGGAAAGTAAATATTTACATTTGCAACATCAATTCTGAACAATTTTTACTTTACATCATTTTATTTTTATATTTATAATTTTAACAGTTACATTTCAGATTTAAATGTTCATCAAAAACATGAAAAAACAAATAGGAAAAACAAAAAGTATTTTCTTTGGCAACTATTTTTCATGATTCTAGTTTTTACTTCCAATTAAAATAACATCTCTCTCTTAAATATAACTTTACTTTTACAACTTATTTTGGACAAAGGCAACAAATGTAATATAATTATCTTTTAAACCATGATGCACTGCTACAGTTCAAACAATCCAACACCAAATAAAAGTTAATGCAGATTTCAGTTTGTACTTAAATTGTACAATGCATTTTGTAATTTATTTATTATAAAAAATGAAAGTATTGCTTCATGTCTGATTTAGATAAATAGAAATCAATATACACAAAAAGTATTTATTTCAAAAAACTTAAAGGGACCCCCTGCAATACTGGAACAGACCACAAGGGGTCTGCAGTCAACAGTATTCAAAACAGTTAAAATCAGCTCCTCCTCCAGATTCATTTATAAATGATGCTGTGTTGCACGTCACAAAGTGTCAGTTATAATCACAGACTGTAAATAAAGATCGATGTCACCTCTGTGACGTCACCCACAGGTCTCTGAAGCTCAGAGTGAGCTGCTCTACCGTTGCCACCTTGGCAGTGTCTGACTCCGCCCCCTAACACCCAGCTAATCCAAATATGGTCAAAGAGGAGGAGCGTGTGTCAAGCCAAGAGTTCGGTGCATACTGGTTTGTGGCAAACATTTACTCACCCACCTGTCACTCCAAGAGGCCACGCCCTCAATCCTCCATAACTGTAGTCCTTAATAAAATGTAAACAGGTGAGTTATATAAACAGGTGTCATGAAGGAGGAAATTAGCTCTAGAGACCAAAACAGTTTCTGTACCAGGCTGTAAACATGTTTATTTCTGCTGTAAAGTTGGACATTTTAACATGGGAGTCTATGGGGACTGACTCACTGTTGGAGCCAGACTCTAGTGGTCGTTAGAGGAACTGCAGCTCCTGGTTTCAGCCCCAGAGGATGATGCTTGGTTGTTTCCGTAATACATAATATAATACACTTTTAGTCATTTTAGTTTAATTTCTGTTGAACTCGTGTCAACTTTAAGACAAATAGTCATGACAGGAAGTTTATCTGAGTTTCTTCAGTCTAACACAGAATTATCGTCTGAATCCACTCATTTATCTGAAAAGCACATTAAATATTGAGACACTTATTTCCTGATGTTTTTCCAGTGTTTTGATGCTAAAGTAGATTTTCAGCTGCAGGACTTTTAGTTGTAATTCTGTATTTTCATCCTGTTTGAGTTGATTAAATGGTCTGAATACGTCTTCCACCACAGCACTGTTAACCCTCATATGTCAGAGCAGCTGTCAGTTCTCCCTGAGTTAATCCACAGCCAGAGGCATTACAGCTCATCCACACGTCTCCTAGGTTTCCTCTGCTCACTGTGTCAATTCAGTTTCATCTGGATTGATCAGGGATCAACATTGAAGGGAGAAATATTCCCAGCCTTTATTTTAATGGAAGTGGAGAAGCAGTGACTATGAGCTGGTTTAACTTCTCACCTAAACATGTTGCTGTTCTGACGTCGTGAGCTGTGTCCCAGTTCAGGAGGAGGTTCATTTGAAGACTAGACTAGACCGTCATATTTTGAAGGCTCCTTCAAATACATCCTTTTCCCGGGCAACGAAGGCTCCAACAGCTGGATCCTTCCTGGTCCAACATATCCCAAGATTCATTGCAAGGCCGGTAATGAAAGCAAATAACAGTGACAGAGAGTCTTAGGATCACACTTATAAATGTAAGTATTATGTCTCAGCTCAGCTCAACAGCCGTACAACTGTTAAAACCAAGAGACTTAAAACTTCAGGTTTTTGTGAAAAAAAAGTCACGTGTTGTCAGGGTTGCTAGGCGACAGAAGCCACTCTTTGTGACGCAAAGACCAGAGAGTCTCGCTTCCGGTCGGCCTTCGCGTCTACGACAGCTACGAAGGGACCGAATAAGGACACAGCTGCAGAGTACTCAGGTCCACCGTGACATCACTGCTGGGCGTGGCTACAGCCCGTGTTGGCAGCACGGCGTTGCAGCAGGTGGTGCAGATGCTGTAGTGAACTTTCCTCTCGTCGTCGCTCAGTGTTTGAGTTATGGCAGATGAAGCTCTGCGCCGCTTCTGTTCGGGTTCAGCCAAAACAAACTGTGTGAAGTATCAGTCTGCATTGTTCGCAGTGTTGTCGGCACACATGGTGAGATGTTTATGTGCAGTGCAGAGCTGCTGGCAGCGCGCCGTCGCCGTCGTCATCTGTGGCCAGTTGAAACGGAGTGGGAACCGTGGCCGACCGGCACAATCTGGAACTGAACCATTCAGGTTTTGGAGCGCACATCCAGCCACGCCCATCAGTGGTGCTGCAGGTGGAGGCCTGTTCACCCTCCTGACTGAAAGGCTGTGATCATAATCATCATGTTAATTATCACTATTATTATTATCATTCAGTGAAAATCAAGGAGGTGGTTGTCAGTTCTGGTTCTTTAGAAGCACAAGATCAGAAAATGTATTTGACAGATTTCAAAGATAAAACAGTGACACCAGCTCTGTCTCTGTTAGAAATGATATTTATGTGCAACTCATTCAGAACAAATACATTTATTAATTAAGACAGGATTATGTTTTCTATTAATATAATGAGCTAATGTTGTTAATTTGCATATTTGGAAACTGGACGTATCAGTTCACAGTTAATGTGTTTGTTTTAACCGAGATGTCTGTAGTGACTCCAGCTTTATAAACTGTCTCCAGGTTCTGTTCAGACTGTCACAGATCCTGGTTCAGGTTCGGGAAAGATCCTGGTCTGGTTTAATACAGAAAGTGACTTCAGACATTTAATCTAAACCACCATCTTTAACTGAACTTAACCAAAGAGCTGTTGTTGCCTCTGGATGTGAACCTGGTCATTTCCTTTTTCAAACAGTAGATTTTCATAGATACATGTAACTTTCAACTTCCAGTCATTCAAAATGTGACCTACACAGACAGAGCTGAGGTTTCTGTTTAGGTCGATCAAGAGCTTTCATACCTGCCACTGAATCTACGACAACCTACAGTTCCTCTAATGGCCACTAGAGTCTGGCTCCAACAGTGAGTCAGTCCCCATAGACTCCCATGTTAAAATGTCCAACTTTACAGCAGAAATCAACATGTTTACGGCCTGGTACAAAAACTGTTTTGGTCTCTAGAGCTAATTTCCTCCTTCATGACAGTTAGTTAGCATTAACGTAATTTCTGCAGCTGATAATAAATCAATCCAATAAAATTTGTGTTAGCTTCAGCTAAGGTTAGCATTTGGCTTTCTCAGCTAGTGTTCAGTGATACAGCATTAGCATTAGCTGTATTGCTGTCTAGTTGTTGTTCTCTGCTTTTTGTAATTACTTATTATATTAATTATTATTATGTACTAATTATGGTTCTAACCCTGAAAAGGTATGACCCCGTTGTCTTTGCTCAGGTTTATTATTTCATTATTGTTATTTTTCTGACAGATTTGCTCAAATTCCCGTGAGCTGGAATTAGTTAGAAAAATGAAAATTGGCAGAATGAGAATGAATCATGTTCACCAGGTTCCCAAGAAATATGAGCTGAGTCGGCCAGACGGTGGCGCTGTAATTAAGGCTCAATGAAAAGATTTTGGAAAGGCCACTCCCCTCCCACCTTTTGTTTGATTGACTTGAAGTTTGACAGACAATTCCAGCTCAAAAAACTCTTGCAACATAAAAGTCCGTCGAGTTTTTTAAAATGTTTTTTTTAATGGTAAAAAAAAAGAGACAAAAGTCAGATTCTGATCTTAACTCAAGTTTGAGCTTTGCTTCATTTGTCTTCGTGAGTCAGCATACAGGTGGCACTGCAGGAATGTGATCATTTAAAATAGCCTGAACTCTAGAGTCATGAGTCTGATTCACTTTTTTCATCCTTGTTCAAAAAACCAGCTGAACTGTCCGTCTGTGTGTCGGGCATGAACATATCAGCTGTAACAGGCTGTGCAGCCGCGGTGGAGCTGTCTTCCTTATGGTTTCTTGTACATAAATAAGATGATTACTTCTTCTTTTTGTCTACGATGACTGTAACCGGAGCTTCTCCCAGCATGCACTGGGTAGAGGGGAACAGGTTGGTGGTGGCAGAAGCTCAGTTACTGCATTATTTCTCATATTATATATATTATATTACATCTTCAACCTGAGTGACTGACCACCACACTGCTCTGCTTCACACTCACACACTTCACTGTTGTGTTTAATGGATAATCAACCACATGTTGCAGGGAGGATAAAAAAAAACAAAAAAAACAAAACAATCTAAATCACTTTTCCAGCCAAAATGTTTCTCTGCTTCTCTCTGGGATTTGAAAACCTCCAGTCTCCGAAAAACAGCACATTATAATTCCTACCCACCAACAGCTGCATGTAAATCAATACAGCCTCAGTGCCGACACAGACCTGATGTTATTGGCTGTGGAGTTGCTTCAGCAGAGAATGAGAGAAGATGAGGCAAAAGCACAGAAAGAGTCGCAGGAGAAATCACTTCACTCCTTTTTCATTTTCCAGTTCGTGGTTGTATATATGTCTATTATTATTATTATTTAGTGGTAACATGTAACTAAGTACAGTTACTCAAACGAGTTTTTAGTTTAGTTAGTTTTTTATTAGGAAGGGGAAAATAACTTTGTGTGATGTGAAAG